AAGTTGGATTTGCCGAGGAAATCCTGCCGCTGCTGCCGGCGCCACCTCCTGCCGGCCCGCTCAGGAAGGCAGGAAGCGGCCGCGTTACCGGGGCCAGGGCGCCCCGAGGGCCCCGCACCGTCCCGCTCCCTGGGGACAAAGTGCAGCCCCGCAGGGACCCGGTTGCCCAGGGCAAACGTTTTATTGGGTCCCAAAATAGCAAGCGGGAGATTTATTGTCACCATYGTCACCCTGCGCCCTGGCAGAGGGAGCTTTGAAGATGTCTGCGGCCATAAACATCAGTTGTGTGAACCTTGGACACGGGCAATGTGGGATGGGATCCGGGGCCGGCCCTGGAGCCAGTGTCGCGTGCACAAACTGCTCCCGCGSTGCTCGGAGCAGCCTGCGCCGCAAGGAGGAGGCCGCCCCGGCGCGGGTCGCCTGCACGGGAGGAGGAATTTGGAGCTTCGGATCAGGGCTCCTGTGCGCCAGGACCTGCAGATAACGAGCGGGATTCCTTCCAAGGCATGAACCTGGAAGGGGAAGATGCTGGCGTCTGTGCGGGCAGGGAGGGCGGCCCTGGTGCTGCCGGTGCGTGAACACGGCTCTGCATCGGGCCAAGCTCCTTTGCTCGGGCATCGTCACCAAGCCCGCCCTGCCCGGGGCTGTTCCTGGTCCTTGCACGGTCCTAGGGACCTGGAAGCTGTGGCTGCTCCCGGAAAGGCTGCAGGGAAGGCTGCAGTGATTGCAAACACGCAGCTGCTGCAGCTGAGGCCGCTCAGCCCTGACGTCCTTATTAAGGCCGTCCTGGAGCCTCCCTTCTCCTCCTCGGTGCCAGGAAAAGGCCTCTTGGGAAGGTTGTGGTTCTTCCGTCCCTGATCCTCAGATGCTGCTGAGCTAGTGCAGGAAGGGCCTGGCTGTCCCCTGGCAGAAAGCAGGACTAGGTAACGTGGAAATAATCCCAYGGTTTGTAAAACAGAGGGCAGGGAGGCCCCGGCTCTCCTGCTTCTCCAAGCAGGAACCCCATTCCCACCTCCTTGTCCTTGCTGCGCTCCTGGGTGAGGTTGGCTTTGCTGAGGTCCAAAGCTGGAAAACACTTTGGCAGCTGCAGCCACGGTTTGGGGTTCAGCTTTGAACCCCTGGAGCTTCTTCCAGTCAGGAGCACCTGGGCTCCRGCTCTGAGCTCCGGGGCCAGCCCAGCTCTGCCCTTCGGAAGCGAGTTACTGCTGTTTTACTTCTGGTCTCTGGTCTTGTGATCCTATCAGCTTGGAATCCGGGCTAATTATGAGACTGAAAATTGTTTCTGGATTTCATTAAATGAGCAAATGAGTATTAGCTAGATATTTACATCAGCTGAACTGTGATAATTTATCCAACTGGGCACTCTTATTTTGGAGAAATGATGTCCTAAGGGATTATGATTCATTTTCATCTGTCCTTATGAACCTCCGCGTAACCCCTAGAATTCAGCTGCACAGCGAGGCCAGCAATTGCAGTCTTAGTGTGGTTGCTGGAAATAACCATGTTTTCCACCCAGTTCTTCAGTGCTGTCACACACCGGGAAAAGCGAAGCACTGCTGAAATTTAGTGACATCAATGGATTTAGTTAAGGGGGGGGTCAGAGGAGAAATTTTATGTAGGATTTTTGAGAGTAAAAGGATCCAGATCATCTGCAAATTTTAAATAAACTGCACTGTTACGGAACGTGGCATATCTTGGGCATGAATTAGGAATTCATAGCATGTAGAAGTAGCCCCCCCTCTATAGAGGTTTTGGGGAGTCATATCTAATCTGTTAACAAAGTGATATCCAGAGCAGTAAGGAATGAAGCCTCAGATCAGTGCCCTGCTGAACCTGCTAGGTAAATTCCCACTAACTGTAGTTAAACTCAGATCTTTCTTCATTCTTCTCATTATATTTTTTAATGTATCATTTCATGGCCAAGGTTCACATCCATCCAGATCTAATTTCATGTACTTGCAAAGTCTGACTCAGCAAAAAATACTATCAGCTTGCATTCAAACCTGCAGAAAACTAGAGGGGAAAAAAATCAACATTCCATGAACAGACAATAAATAAGTCCTTTATTTTGCTGAATCAGGCCCTGATGTGTCTGGACCCTTATTATTTTGAAAGTTTAGATGATCYTCAACTTCTGAAATAGATAAAAGGGCATGATTCCTTATGTATAATAGAACCCTTCGGTCAGTAGTGCTGAGTGGAAGAAGCTATAGATGCAGTGATATTTGAGATAAATTACTAAACCTTTTGTTTTAAAGGAAACTTGTGAGTCAAATGTACTCTTCTGGTAAACCCTGGCAGAATACCTACCCTCAAATATACTAAAGTTGAAGGGCATGAGCAGGTTTTCCTCATGTAACTCCTATCCCCAGGAATGATTTTTTTCTTATTAACGTACGACTCAATTATTTTGTTTTTGTATGTTTTCTGGATATAGCCTCTTATTTTTAACAATCTATAGTTAATAATTTGCTGCCTGGGTTCCAGGTTAAACGGCCAGTTGTTGCAATTCCGAAGAAACAGGGGCAGCTCAGCAAGCAGCTTCAGGTGTCCTTAAGGGCTCACGATCCATCTGTATGAGGYGGCCTCTGCAAAGGGACAGCTCCCGTACAGCGCTCCTGGGGCTGACAAGCGCAAGCCCTGTCGAGCAGAGACAGGAAAACACGGAAATCTCTCCCCCGAGACGAGGCTGCCTCCAGCTATACAAATTGGGAGCCTGATTCACTTGTTCTCCGCCAGCACGGTGGTCCCCAGGGAAAGCAGGATCTTGCTAGGACTTGAGACACAGAGACCTGGGATTTACGGATCGATACCAGCATCCCTGGCATTGTAGCTGGAAGCAACATTCCTGGGCACTGTGCATCTCTCCTGCTTGCAGGTGAGAGCTATTGGCGTTGATTAGAGCAGAGCACGAGAGCTGGGATCCTCAGCTCTACCCATCTCCYGGCCGCTCACCTGCTAGCAGTTTTGGATGAATCATTTGATCAGCTTGCCTGTTTCTTATTCTGTAAAGTCCTGCAAATATTTAGCTTTGTTCCTGGATAAAAGGCAATACGAATGCACAAATGCTATGGATTTCCACCTGGGCATGCAGGAAATCTGCTCAAGTCCCCCAAGTTCTGCAAGCGGACAGCAGCTCTGCAGGGATAAATAAATCCAGGGAGCTCCAGGTGCCTTGAGCAGCAGGAGCTCCTGTCTCCGCAGGGCAGGACGGTGCCGATGCCTCCCCAGCACCGGGCACTTCCCAGCRGGTCACCGGAGCCCGTTCCCATGTAGCGGAGCTGCCGCTCGGCCCCTGCCTCACCTTTATTTCTCCTGGATTACAGGTAATTCTGCCAGGTGCACTCTTAACAGTAGGACTTTTAAGCTGCAAATGCAATTTAAACTGAATGTGCAATGTAAACTGCCTATGCAAAACTGCCAGTATTTTTATCTTGGTATATAAAATATACAATAAGTATATGACTAGATATTATAGGAAATGCATTTTGATATAGCTAGTTACAAATTTAATATATATAAGTACCTATAAAGTGCAATGTACATACGTTGCATGCAAGATGCACAATATATGTTGATATGCACAGTGGTTATGGATAACGACTAACATTAGCAGTGTTATTAGCAGTGGTTATGCATACTAAGGGGGGTATTTAAAGGTATATATGTGTGTGTGCGAGTCCCCCGCTGGTGGAGGCCGCGGCTCGGGCGGCGCCGCCTCCGCGCGCGAC